TTGTGAAATACTGACATTTCTCTAATATTAAGATTTCTTTTCAATTAGTATGGTATGTCTCTCCATTTGAGGAGTGCTTCTTTAATGACTTTCAATAGTTTTATAATTTTTATTATGTTGGGTTTTTTGTTTGAGAATTGCTTTTTTCATTTATTTGTTTATTATTTCAGTAGATTTAGGCGGTACAAGTAGTTTTTTGTTAAATGGATAAATTGTATAGTGGTGAAGTCAGCTTTTAGTGTACCCGTCACCCATATCGTGTGCATTGTATCTGCTAGGTAGTTTTTGATCCCCCACCCTCTTACCACTTTCCCCCCTTCTAAGTCTCAAAAGTCCATATTACCACTCTGTTACACCATGTATACCCATCTTGTGAGTCACAAGCTCCCACTTGTGAGTATAAGCAGAATGTGTTTTTCCGTTCCTGAGATACTTCACTTAGGATAATGGCTCCAGTTCCATCCAAGTTGCTGCAAAAGACATTACTTCATTCTCTTTTATAATTTTCTTTTATAATTAAAGCCATGCATACGTTTTTTTAGAGTCATTCTTGAGGAATCATATATCTTTGTTGATATTGCAAATGTCATTCTTTTAGAAATTACAGTTTTTGTTTGTAGCTGGTGTATAGAAATGCAATATTGTACAAATGTTGATCTTATATCCAGCAACACTGCTAAGGGCATATTAATTCCAATAATTTATAGACTCTTTTGGGTTTTCCATGTAAACAATCAGATCATATATAAGTGACAGTTTATTACTTTCCTATTCTTGTATCTTTTTCCTTTTTTTATTATGTTACTGCTCTGGCTAGGACATCTAGGAACAGTGTTCAGTAGAAGTGATGAGAGCATATACACTTGTTATTGCTGATCTCAAAGGAAATACTTGCAACATTTCACTACTAAGTAGGATATTTGTTGGGAGGTTTTTTTTTTAAAAAAAACAGCATTCTCAGTTTAAGAAGGTTCTTTGGTATTCATAGTTTGTAAAAGTTTTTTAAAAATCATGAATGGATGTTGACTGTTATGAATGCTTTTTTTGTGCATTAGAAGATGTGATGAAATACATTAACAGACTTCTAATGTTAATTTTTTTTATATAAAACCAAACTCAGAAAGCATATGTGTGAGTGAATTAAGTTTGCTAATATTTTATTTAGGATTTTTTTCATCTGTGCTTAGTAGTGAGAATGGCCAGTAATTTTCTTTCTTATATTCTCTTGGTAACCTCATAAAATCAGCTGGTAGGTAGTCCTACTTTTTCTTTTTTGAATGTAGAGTTAAACTCTCCTATGAAACCAGCTGGCCCTGGTAGGTTCATTTTTGAGTGGGAGTGGTTTGGGAGGATTAATGTTAAACTATTGTTTTAATTTCTTTAATGGTTATATGTCTATTCAGATTTTCTATTTCCTTTGCAATCAGTTTTCTTAAGTTATATTATTTTTAATAGGAAATTAACTTTTCTGTTTACTTTTTTTTAAACAAAATTCACATTTTATTAAGATTGAAATAACTATAAAAAATTTATTTTGATCACCAAAAATAACAGCAGTATTTTCCATATTATTTCTAGATAAACCATAAAACACTTATTTTTGTAGCTTTTCCAGGTTTAGTTATAAATCAGGATGAAGCAGTAGATAAAGTCATGGAAAAAGACAGATGAAAAAGACAATCAGTTGTCAGTATCCATGGCCTGATTCTGTCCTAACCATGAAATAGAAATGTTTAAAATGTACCTGCTAAAAAGCTTATGAAGACATAGGCTCAACAAAGGAATGCAAACAGCAACAACCAGATGTGGAACAACAATGGCAGGACCTTCCATTCAAACTTTGTTAACTTGTTCATTTGATAAAGACAAAATCTACAATGAAATCCTTCTTAGGTAAGCTCACAAGATTCTCTCTCTGGTAATTTAACTATCCATTACAGGATTTTAACAATATATTTAAAACTTCTACTAGTCGAAGGTCAATTATGAGCTTTATTGTAACATTTTATAAAATGTATTCCTTCCTCCCACACCTCCTCAGAATTTATTTCTTCAGAGAATTGATAACTCAATACCTGATGCAGATCCACCATGATAATAAATGTTATATCTAAAATGACTTAACTAAAATGATTCCAGTGTGCAGTAGCCTGTTTACTTTTTTAATTTTGTTGTTATAGAGTTCTTCTGTTATAATAGAAGTTAATTTTTCAGTCTATGCTGTTGCTATGATAGATTTTTTTCTCATTCCTAATTTGGTTAATTTGTATTTTCTCCATTTTTTTTCTTTGATCATTCTTGCCAGTTATATCCTGGACAAGCTTGTCTGTTTTTTTAGCACATTCAAAGAAAATCAGTTTTAGCCTTGTTTACCATCCCTATTACATCTCTGCTTCAATTTCATTAAAGTCTGTTTTTATAACCTTTTAAAATTTCTTTCCGACTGTTGTCAGGTTTTCCCCCCTTTTTTCTTTTCTTTTTCTAAGGTCTAAATGTGGATGCTTGCCTTATTAATTTCAGTCTTTCTTTTCTTCTAATATAAATATAAATACATATATATAAGGTTAGAATAACCTTTATCCTTAGATGATTCCAGAAGATGTGATATTTTCATTATAGATACGTTTTTAATTTTTTAATATCCATTTATGATTTCTCTGGCCCATATTTTAAAATTTTAGAACTTTTTCTGGATATTTCAAATATCCTTTGGACAGTGACAACTGAGGTTAAAAATATTTTAAGGAGATTCACCTTAAGGCCTTCCCCTTGCGACTGAGGGAGACTGTGCTGTAGATGCCCATGCAGGAGCAAGCCTGTCCTGTGAAGGTGGTGATGCCCTGTGGGGGTAACTTTGAAAAAGGGGAGACACAATATGAATGATTTATTCTCCCTTTTTCCCTCATAGGCTTTGGGGAGACATAGTAATGTCAAAAGGACCTTCTGAAAACATGCTGTAGTCTTCTTTGCTCTCCTTTCATCTCTGTTTCATTCCTTTTTTTCCTTCATGCCTAATTCCCTGGGATTGCAACCTCAAAAAGTGAGTTTTTGCTTCAGGGTTTGTTTTCTGACCTTAACTAAAACAGAGAAAATTTGAATCACCTGAATCCTCATAAATGGCCATACTATTGCAGGGGAGGAAAATTTTACCTTATCATCTCAGGTTTTTTTTCTTTTCTGGCTGGGCCTGAGAATTAAATTGACATAAGACAGATTAAGAGGAGAAAACCACACGAATTTATTTAACACAAGTTTTACGTGTGGGCATGGGAACCTTCATAAGGAAATGAAAATTCAAAGACACATTTATAGTCAAACACTTACATAATTACACAAAACAGTAAATTGTGAAAATGTGACAAGGCAAAGGGGCTTGGGCTAGGGTAGTTGGTGAAGTGACTAGGAAGATAAGCGTTAATCTAAAAACATTTCTTTGTATAGATTTTGCTTGGCCTCAACTTCCTGTCCTTGATAAGAGTGATACTTTCCTTCTAGTACAGGCAGGGCATCTTTCAAACAGGAATTTCATCTCCTGCTTTTAAGAAACAGAATGAAGTTCAGAAAAACCTGTTTTTCAAGTGCTTTAACTCAAAATTATCAATATGCTAGAGTGGCATATTTTGGGGACGCATATTCTTAACTCCACTATAAACTGATTCTGTCTCTAGATTTCAGTGTACAACTTCGTGTTTAGGAAAAGTGTACAAATTGGTTGCAGAAAAAATTTAATTAGCTCAGATAGTAAGAAAAGGAAAGAGGCAAACTTAATATGTAAAGTATTTATTAAACCATGGGAAGGCCAATGGACCTCATCAGGAAACTACAGGAAAATTTTCCAGGGGGAGTTGAATACGGAAAGGGAGAGAACTGAATGAACCGCAACACAAAATAATAGACTGTTGAAAGAGTCTGCACTGTAGCAGTCCACAAGAGAGGGTTTAGTTTCATCAAAACACCAGCATTCATACTGTTAAAATAATATTAATTTAAACTTTATTAGTATTGTGGTTTTATTGTTTTAGAGAAATTATAAGCTTCAGGAATTTAAACTGAACCTAGCGTGGATTTGAATACATTTTAGAAAATTATAATAAGAATAATTGTGTCAACAGTTGTGGGGTATCCTTAGCTTTCTTTTAAGAGAGAGTCGTTGTTTCCTAAAGTTTGAGGAACCCGTTTTAGGATCTCTTTCTCTCTCTCTCCAGCTTAGAGCTGCTTTACAGGCTCTGGGAATCCGTCTGGATGGCTCCCCTGGCTTCCGTCTCGGGGGCTCCCAGATGCACCGGACATTTCCGAATTCAGCTTCTGCCCACATTTCCGCGTAGCGAGTCCCAACCTCAGTGGCGCCCTGATGCTCACATCACCAGCACCAGCCTCCAGGCTTCACAGAGCCGTTTCAAACTCAGGTCCACACCCACCCGTCCAGCTCCCGCAGCCCCACGGCCACCCCTCCACCCGCGTTTCCCTCCTCTGGAGCTGTTTCTCAACCTTGCCTGAGCCGAACACTTGTTAAAAACACACACTTCCAGACTGTTGTTCTCGAAATTCCAGAAGCCTAGAGAGAGGGCCCAGGGATCTGCATTTTAACGAATGTCCCAGGAAGGTCTTACTGGCAGGCAAGTTTGAGGAACAGGGCTCTAGTGTTTCCTCCGTTCCCCACGCTTCTTCCCCGAGGGCGCCTCACCGCTCGTGGGACGAGTCGGGTCGGTAACTGGTTTGGTGAGCTCCGCGGGCGCCAGGTCCCTCCGCGGCCCCGGGCGGTTGCTGGGTGACCGACCAGACGCTCCAGGTCGGGCTGCAGCTCGCGGGAAGTCTCGCGACGTCGCCCGCAGCGCCCTCCTCTGCTGCTCGCGCAGCTCCTGCTCTTTGTGACGCGCGGCCTGGCCGACCCCGAGTAGACGCCACTTAGCTCGAAGAGGCCGCGAGGCCCCGGTGCGTCTCTGTTTTAGTGGGCCAGGGCGTAGCCAACACAGTTCTTGGCAGATCACCATTTCCCTGCCATCGTCTTCGATCGCTTCGGTGCCCAGTAAACACGGTTCCCCAGTAACGGACCAGGAAAGAAATTGTTTGAATCAAAATAGAGCCCGTACAACACCCTTTCCTCAGGTAAAAGCCAGACTCCTCAGGGTGACATTCAAGGCCATTCACGTCCGCCTCACTGCTCGTCACTTGCCGTCTACACTCCAGTATTCTCCAGTATTGCGCTGTTCTAAAATGAATCGCCCCTCCCTTCGCCGCCGCTCAGGGTAGCAATAGCACACAGGTTCTTGAAGCCTCCTTCGTTCTTACTTTCCCTTTTAAGATTCAAGGACTCCACGTGGCATTAGCGCATCTTTTCCGAAGCCTTCCCTAGGTACCCCATCTTGTTAAGGGAAGCTCCCTCTGGCCCCCAAATCTGGGAGGGAAAACAAAAAACGGGCAAAAACAAAGCCCCAAGCAAGCCAAGGGAACAAGGCCTTCCCAACCAAAACGGCCCCCCCGGGCCCCTTCACCGTGCGGGCGTCCGCCCTGTACGTGTTCAGCTTTACGAGGCCTGGAAGAAGGTTTGGAATGTTAAAATCACCAGCACTGAAGAATATCCGCATCTGAAACCAGCTAGATACAGGAGGGGCTCTATCCACAAAAACATCATGGTGAGCTTCGTCAGGTACACATAGGGTACGACTAATGCTACCAGATTGATATTCCTAATTCTAAGAAAGAAGAAACGAGAAGAACAAATGTTGCACGCATAAAAACTTGCAACAAGCAAAAGTAGGAAAAGCTCCATGCTGTGGGAGGCATGTTTGTCATATCTAAGCAAAGGATGTTTTAATTAAAGTCACTTCCATCCTTCAAATAAAAAAAACCTGGGATGTATTAAGGTCTTTAGCATAGCACTGAATACACTGCCATGTCTTTTTTTACTTACCCATGTCTCCAATAAGATGGTAAATACTCTGAGGGCAAGTATTATGTCTTTTACCACACTATTCCCTGGACCTAGCAAAGTTACTTGTACATTAGTAGGCGCTTTATAAATGAAGGGGAAGAAGAACAATAGTACGAGGAAATGACATTTACAGTGGAAATACTGGGGCTCATTGGGGGTATGGTAAAAATGAGCAGTCTGGGTGTAAGGGACAGTGCAAGCTGGAAAACAGTGAGTACCAGCTGTGATCCTGGGGAGGGAAATGTTGTCATGGCCATTCCTTGAGCAAAGGAAGTGTCAGCGTAAAAGATTATTAGAGTTGCAAGGTAGCTTAGAGCCCAACTTGCTATTTTGCAGATAAGAGAAGTTCCAAGCCTTATCTTGGAAAGAGGAAAGAGGAAAGAAACATGCTCAAGGTCACACCTGGAGTGGCTGAGAGGGAAATTACCCTTAGGCTCTTGATTTCAAGTCCAGTTCTCTTTTCATTATATCTCACTGAGGTTACAATAAGAGTAGCCTAGTACTGGGAAGGAATGAAGGCAGAGGAACCCTAACCTTATTCAGGATAGTGTTGCTTAAATCCAGTTGTAGAGTAATCTTGATCCGGATTGGATGAAGGTAAAGAAAGTAGAAAGGCATTAACAAATTTAAGAGACATCTGGTAGCATGATTCACTAGAGAGAGATTGAATAGGATAAGGGGAGGGGAGAAGTTGAAGTTAATTCCCAGGTGATAGCTGGGATAAGGAACAATGCGAGGGAAAGAGGAGAAGTGGTGAGTAATTTGAGGGGAAGTGGATTAGTTTGGTTTACACACATTAAGTGTGAGGTGAGATAGATTTTAAGTTTCCAATTTAGAACTGATTACTTAAACCATGAGTAAGTGGTGGTGAGGGAAAAAGTAAGGAAAGAGAAATAGTGGGGCAGTAGCTATGCCAACTAGTTTGGATGGAAAAGGAAGGAAAACTGGCAAAGATGGCAGAGAAAGATTCATCAGAGGTGAGATTTGTTCTGAGAAGAACAAATAATACTTCAGTGATTAAGAACCTAATAATTCAGATTCTGGAGCTCCAGTGGTGCAATTGATTTGTGAATAGTACTTACATGACAGATTCAGACACTGGGGGAAGGGGTATTAGAAGGGAGGCAACTAATAAATAAAAATCTACAGAATGATAAGAAATATTAATAAAAGAATGATCACAATAATATGGCTAAAGCACTATGGCATGGATCAGATGCCCCTCCTGTTTTATAGCCATTCCTTTGGGGACAACAGCTTTAACAACGTATGCATGGCTGGCCCATTGCTCTGTGTAGCACTCTATTAACTTGTTGCTGACATTGCTTTGCTAGAAACCTTGTTTAGCAATGTCTCAGTGAAAATCAGTTGCTTTGAAAATCTTTGTTTTGGAAACAATTTCATATATCATTATAAAGAGGAGTATTATGTCATTTGTGGTAAAATTATATATACATTTAAATATCTAAACGGATACATAGGCCAGACGAGGTGGCTCACTCCTGTAATCCTAGCACTTTGGGAGGCCAAGGCAGGAGGATTGCTTGAGATAAGACCGGCCTAGGCAAGAGCCAGACACCATGTCTACAAAAAATAGAAAAATTAGCCAGGTGTGGAGTCCCAGCTACATGGGAGGCTGAGGCAGGAGGATGATTTGAACCCAGGAGTTTGAGGTTATAATGAGCTATGATGGTATTGTACCAAGTGTACCCGGGCAAGAGTGAGCAGGTGTACCTGGGCTAGAGTGCAGTGGGTAACAGAGTGAAATCCTGTCTCAAAGAGAAAAAAAAATTTCTCAGTGACTACTGATATTTACAATGGTTTGAATTACTAATTAATTTTTTATGCAACAAGTTAGAATGTGAAATATAATTCCTGTCTAGTGGCACATAGTCTTAAACAATCATCTGTGTATTTTCCAATGTGGCAGAAATTTGACAGATAAGAAATACTTGTCTTTGGTACTACATTTATAAGTTCAGCATAAAATATACTTTGACAGACGCTGGGAAATTTATATTTGTAAGAAAAAATATTGTGAAGTCTTAAGAATCATTTAAAAAGGCATATTTGGAAGATTGTTGCTAACAGGCACATTTTTAAAAGCCTCAAATGGAGTTTCCAAATAGTTTTAGACAGAAACATACTTTACATTTCATATAGTGTTCTGTCTTTGTCAGTCAGTACCTATTTCCTGACCTTCCAGAGTATGTACTGCACACCACTGTGTGATACACTAAGCAAACACTTTAATGATTAGGTAACGTTCATTGAGAAACCAACAAATTAAAGGGTCCAGACATGTATATCATCGCATAACTCTATACAGAAAAATTACCATTTGTTGCAGTTAATGCCTCTTTTTGTCTTGGTCTTGTAGATTGGTAACCAGTGATATGGTAGGCAGATTTCTAAGATGGCCTCAATGATCTCGCCTCCTGATATCCATGCACTTGTATGATCCTTTCTCATGAAGTGTGGGCTGGACCTAGTGACTTTTCTAGCCAATAGAATAAGGCAAAGGTGACGGAGTATCATTTCTGTGATTAGGTTATAAGAGATTGTGACTTCTGTATTTTTAGAAGACTCTATTGCATTTTTGGCTTGTACTCTTTAGTAAAGCAAGTTGTCATTTAGAAGAGTACATGAGGCAAGGATCTGAGGTTGGTCTTTGGACAACAGCTAGTGAGGAACTGAGACCATCAGTTCAATGAGGAACTAAATGTCAACAACCGTTGTTTGAGCTGGAAAGTTGGTCCTTTCTTGGTTGAGCTTTCAGGTGAGACCTTATCCCTGGCTAATTCCTTGATTGTAGTCATGTGAGACACTCTGAATAGAGGACCCAGATCCTTGACCTATGAAATCTGTGAAATAATAAATGTATGTTGTTGTAATTCACTAGGTTTGGGGGATAATTTGTTATGGAGCAATAAATACCTAATACAGGGAGCAGTGGAAAATTCCCTTAAGAAGAGAAGGTTTATTCAGAAATTTGGGACATGACTCCCATTATCATAGGACATTCTATATGGAAACTCAGAGAAGAGAAAAGAAAGTGACTATAGGATGTGGTAGCTTAGATAGAATGAAAGATTTCTTAATGAACAACAATCCATATATAGAAGCTACAAGCTGGAGAATCAGGACAAATGAAGCCCTTTTGTTTATGGATTAGGCAGTTTCCATTCAAAATATTATTCCTGATATTTGTAACCTGGAGATGGGCATTTAATTTGGAGCTTCTGTAGAAGTATTAACAGCTCTCTAAAGCCATTATGTACACGATCTGGGCACCAATAATAAGTGATTTAAAAAATTTTTACTTTATAACTGGTTTATGTCATTTATTAATATGTTTTATAAATATAAATGATTATTACATAGATTATCTGTAAAACAATCCATGGTATTTCTTCTGGGTTCCAGACCTATGCATTCATCTGACTGCTAGACACTCATTCTACCTGGATAGGAATGTTCTAGAGGCATTGAAAGCTCGAGCTGTTGAAACTGAACTCATTTCCATCCTTCACAAATCTTTTTTTTTAAATTTTATTATTTAATTTCTAAAATTTTTATTTTCTTTTTCAATAGAGACAGGGTCTCACTGTGCTCAGGCTGGTGTCAAACCCGAGTTGCAGCTGTCCTCCTGCCTCGGCCTCCCAGAAAGCTAGGTTTACAGGCGAGAGCCACTGCGCCCAGCCCCATCCTTCACAAATCTGCTTCTTCTAGTTCCTGTCTTGCTCACAGTCCATCCTGCTACACAAAGTAGAACCTGAGAGCCATCTCCAGTATTCTCTCACATACACACTACTCACCACATTCACTAAATCAAGTGCACTTAATCTCAGAAATGACTTTGCAAGCTAGCTGCCTCTCCACTGCCCCCATCACTACCTACGAATAGATGTAAAAGGACTTTGTCAAGTTCTATTATTTGTTATATTAATTTTAATACACAAATGCTTTCTCAGGTTCTATTTTAAAGTTCTATTATGTTTAATATACATGGATTCTTTTCTAAAATGGTTCACTTCCACCCTTTACTAAAAGGTCAAACTGAAGTAAATATGTGAGATGTGGCTTAGGGAATGTGAGATTAGGGAATCACAGATGAAAATCAGTTTCAACCTAAAAGACACATTTATAGCATACAGTTATAGTGAAAAGGTGT